TGACTCCTCTGCTTTTGCCATTGTCAGTCCAGAACCTGGGGGTGGTGGGACTGACTGACCTGTCACCTCTCCAGGAGGGGAGATGGGAGGTGAACAGGAATGTGGTGAACTTGGGATTCCTACCCCTATCTGTTGGGAAGGGGAAGAGCAACACCTCCCTAGGTGGAGGTATTTAGGGTACTATTGAGACATCTTAGGGTGCTTGTACTTGCTCCAGATCCTATTGCTACTGAGTTTCAAGGCTAAGGTTTGAACGCAAGCCCCTAACTCCATGCCCAGGGCTCCTCCTTCCCTCTGTATCCTCCTGCTTATCTACTAGATTCAGATTATTTACATTCTCTATAGCCTATGACCCGGAGTTTCTGGGTGGTGCAAATGGCTAACGAATGGCTAACGTGCTTGGCTGTTAACCAAAATGTTAGAGGTTCAAGGTCACCCAGAGCCACCTTGGCAGAAAGGCCTAGTGATCTACTTTGAAGAATCAGCCATTGAAAACCCTATGGAGCACAGTTCTGTTCTGACACATGGGGTCGCCATGAATTGGAATTGACTTGACAGCAACTGGAAACTGTAATATTCTATGACTACTTAGCTCTGCTTTCAAGGGGAGCAGGATGAGGGTTCGTATGTCTGGGAATCTTAGGTTTTATTTTTAAATAAGTCTAGGTTCACTCTGTCCTCTTTTTTTGTCATAGATCTTTCTGTGACCTTCCCATAGACAAAGCCTGTCTCTTTCAGGTGGGCCACATGTCTGAGGAAAGAGGGCTTTATCCTGGGTCTGAGTAAGTGGGTCCCCCAGCCCTGACTTTTATCAGCTCACTCATCTGTTTGTGGTGGGGTTTAGGGTCTCAGGATCTCACTCTGTAGGTGATGATTGACTGGAAGGAGCAACACCATGGAGGTTCCACAGAGAGCTTGCAGTACAGATGTCATGGGCAGACCTTCCTCACCTTTGACCTGGTCTCCCGGATCTGGCTGATCAGTAGCACCTGGTCTCTGGCCATCAAGCATGGTAGGGAGCTGGTTGGGACGAAAGCTGGAATTGCCAAGTTATTCCTGGAAAAGGCGAATCCTGAGAGGCTTTGGAATTACCTGAGTTTGGGATCCAGGATCCTGGCTGGATGGGGACCATGGTGGGTCTTCCTGTGTCCGTTTGGATCTCCTATCTGACACCTGATGGCAGCAGGCAGTTCAAGGAAGGACTGAGTAGAACAGACTGGCAGGAAAAAGATTGGAGGGACTAGTCAAAGGGAAACTGAGAATGCTTCTTGACCACAAGAGCTAGTTGTCTGTGGGTGGCAGAGAGAGCAGGGCCAATGCATGAGGACAGGACAGGTGGGGTCAGGCAGGTGAGGGGTGAGCTGGGCACAGGGTGGAGGCACTAGGCTTCCCTGGGCAAGCAGCTCAGGGAGGAGAAAGTCTAAAGTGTGCAAAAGGACATCTGCAGAGTGAAGTTCTACACGGCCTGAAGCCAGGGGGTGGGGAAGTGCCTGGGAGCTCACTGGGAGAAAGATTTGGGGAAAAGAGGGGCATCTGGAGTGTGCTGAATCGGATCTCACCCAGCCTGAGGGCAGCCAGGCCAGCCTCACTGGTTTTCAGGATGCCGTGGGCCAAAAAGCTCAGAGCCTTGTCCTCCAAAACCCCCTATTTTCCTGTGTTCTCTGTATTTCCTTTTACATTTCTTAGGAAAAGTTGTTTTTAAAAAAAAACCCCTCTATCTCTTGAGTGTGAACTGAAGGGACAAAGGAGGCTATTCCTCCTGTATTCCTGGGGTGGTGGTAGTAGAGCTGGACAGGGCCTCCCCAGGGGCCATGAGGAGGGCAGCACGTTCTGGCTCTAGAGCTGGAGGGGAGGCTGTGTAGAACCCACAGCCTCAGCTGTGTTTTAGCACTGCTGGGAGGCCACCACCTTCTCAGCCAAGGAGCTTTCTTGGGTTCCCTGGCTCAGCCGGCTGGTTGCTGAGGGTGGAGAACTAGTCAGTGGAGGGGCTCTGCTGGCCCCACAGGTGGGCTGGGCTGTGGTTTCTGGCCTGGAGATACCCAGGGCTCTGCTCTGGGAACAGAGCCCAGTGCCTTCCCTTTGTCCTGTCCCACTTTAGGGCCAACACTATATGACTGGTCTGCATCTCCCACCTCCATGGCCACCCTGAATCCTTACTCATTGGGCTTGTCACCAGGTTGGTCATTGGTGTCACCATCTTTGTGACTGTGGGGGTTGTCACCTGGCAGAAGCAGTAGCTGGGTAAGCTGGGAAGGTGTCAGCCTAGGACTTGGATTTGTGTGTGTGTGTGTATTGGCTAACCTCTGTCTACCCCTCTCCCCATCCATTCTCCACTTTCTCTTGCCATTCTTTTGTGACCTGAGAGACGTCTATGGATTGATCACTAGGCCTCCTTACTGGACGCTTCTCACTGGGTTTGGCCAAAGGAGGCACTAGCAGAAGACTATGGGTAGAATAGAGGCGATGGAGTATTTCTCCTAAGCTCCTTCCCCATCAGTGACTGTCTTCCTCTCTGACTACAGCTGTTGTCCCATGGCTCCTCCTCCCCTCACCCCTTCAGTCCCAGGGATGGTGATTCTTGCTGCTCCCTCCCACACCTAGCTATTTCCTTCACCCCATCTCCCCTCTGTAAATAGCTACTGTTTACAGGACTCTAAAGGTGCTTGGTGGAGCAGTGGTTAAGAGCTCTGCTGCTAACCAAGAGGTCAGCAGTTCGAATCCACCAGCCACTACTTGGAAACCCTATGGGGCAATTCTACTCTGTCTTACAGAGTCGCTATGAGTCAGAATCAACTCTATGGCAACTGGTAAAGGATCCTACAAGAGAGAAAGATGTGACAGTCTGCTTCCATAAAGATTACAGCCTTGGAAACCCTATGAGGCAGTTCTACCCTGTCTTAAAAGGTTGTTGCTGTGGACCAGAACCGATTAGACTGCAATGAGCTTAAAGGAGACCATAGGTGGCACAAAAGGTTAAGCACCGGTGGTTTGAAGCCACCCAGAGGCACCTCGGAAGAGAGATCTGGTGATCTGCTTCCAAAAGGCCGCAGCCATGAAAACCATATGGAGCACAATCCTACTCTGATACACATGGGGTTGCCACGAGTCAGAATAGAACTGACTCGATGGCAACTGGTTTGATTTTTGGTTTATAGTTGAATCATCTCAGTGGAATTCTGTTTCCAGCTGGGACCCTTCTGTCTCTCATTCTTCACTTCTCATTCTGACCCTCACAGGGAGGGTGGGAAGGGCTGGCTCTCCTGTGGAGAGGGGACCATTCTCTACTCACTCAGGACTGTGCTCTTTCTCAGTAGAAACTGCAGGGCAGTCCTGACTTCATTTTCATCCTCCACCCTCCTGGGATTCAGCCTTTAATTCTTCCTCTGTCTTTGGAGTACTTTGAATCCCTGGTTCCAACTCTTTGTCTGAACACATGAGTGTAGGGATTGTGTCCTGTAACCTATCATCAGGGGCACAACCAGGAGTGAGAAGGGAGGGATCTAAGGGGAGGAGAAAAACTTTTGGTGGAAGGGAAATGGAGGAGCCAAGTTCTGGCTCTGACCTTTTGCAAAGATAGGATGCACGTGTGTGTGTGTGTGTGTGTCTGTGTGTCTGTGCATATACTCCAGAAGAGGGGCGGAATTCTCACCCTCTCTGTCAGGGGAGTAATGAGTTGTTTGGGGAGCAACATGGGTAGACTAATGTGTGAGAGAGACAACTGGACAGAAAGGATGATGTCTCATCACTTCCCTCTGTGAGGAATCAGTTTTCTTGTTGTAAGATGAATACAAATACTAGCTAACACATCAATAGATGAATGATTACATGCATTAAGTCATTTAATCTGCACAAGAGCCATATGAGGTTGGTACTCAGATTATCCTCACTTCACAGGTAAGGAAAAGAGGCACAGAGCAGGTAGAACTGTGCCCAGGTCACATGCCCAGTAAGTGAGAAGTAGGATTCAGATGGGCAGTCCTACTCCAGAGTCTGTTCTGACCACTGTGACAACCAGTGTGGTGCAATGGATCACTTTTATAAGGCCTTTTTTGCCATGGTTTTGTAACTCCCACCAAATGATTGGGTGGGACTATGCAAATAAAGTGCTTGTGGCCCACCAAGGGGATTGGACAGCTTGCTAATAATGCAAATAAGGTGCATGACACTCTTGTAGGGGGCGGGACTATAAAAATAAGGTGTATGGAACCCTATTGAAGGGATTGGTCAGTTTTGCCATCCCACTAGGCTTAAAATGAGCCATCCCAGATGCAGAAAGGGAGGACCTCGCTACCATCAAGAAAGAAGAGCTAGGAGTGGAGCACATCTTTTGGACTGGGATCTGATTTAGGAGATAAAATTGGAGCCATTATTCCCCAAAGTTGAGCATAAAGAATGTGACCCAGCTGCAGCTGGACTCACAAGGATTCACAAGGATACATCAACTGGGCCCTGAGGTATAAAGACAATAGCTGAGATAACCTTGGAAAACATTTTTAGGGAAACTTTTCACAAACAAATCATAAACAGAGCACAGAAGACCCACATAGTTTCCACTCTTATCTCTTTTTATTATGGTTTAGTAAACAGTAAGATGCGTTGCACCAGTGAAGACCTTCTTGACTGTCGTTACTGAAACTTGTACCAATAATAATTAAGAAAGACGATTCAAAATGTAGAATCATGGTGATTTGGCACTTTTTAGCCAATCTGTGAAAAGGTGAAGTTTCAATGATTTTACTCATTTGTAATGTTAATATATACTGATGATTCTGTAGCATTCCTTGGACTCAGGGCAGACATGGCTCTGGCAGCATTCTTGTCCATTTCCCACTTTTGCCTTTTTAACATATGCCAAATAAAATCTTTCTTTTTGCTTTAATATAACTTTGTGGTGATTTTACCCTAGGACAGGTCCCTGTGCTGAGAACCTCCTAGACCTAGGAGACAGACAGATCTGTAACACCAGAGATGGCGTGAGACAGTGAGAAGCGGCCGCAAGCATGGCAGAGATATGGCAGCAGCAGAACAAGGAGACCGGCCTCACAGCCCACGGAGTAAGGCGGCTACAGTGGGCATGCCAATTTGCAGAGCAAGAGAGCTGAGCGCCTTCGGGCAGGAGGCTTCATGGCAGAGTGGGGTGCCTCTGGGCATTTATTGGCAGAGCTGAACGAGCTTTGAAACACTTGCAGGGCAAAGACCAGCCTGAGTGCTGAGAGCCAAGGGCCGAGAGGATCCTGTCCTGAGAGGGCTGAAAGGAACCTGTCCTCTGGAGGCCGAGTGCAAGGACCCAGCCCCAAGTAAACCCAGGTGGCAGAGGCCTGCCTGTGGGCATGATTGGAGAAGAAGCTGTCCTGATCGAAGAACTGTATCCTGAGTCATTCCTGATCCTGAACTGTAACCTGTTACTTCCCTAATAAACCCCAGAATTGTGAGTATTGTCTGTGAGTTCTGTGTGGCCATTGCAACAAATTATCAAGCCCAGCAGATAAGTAGAGAGTGTTGTGGGAGGGACGGCTGGTGTCAGAACCGGTAAAAAGATTGTCGAGAGGGAGTATGTCTGATCGCCACTTCATAGGAATCAGCCCTGGGCTGATGTTGATCTTGTTTCTCCCCCTTTTTGAAGTTAGAGGAGGTCAGACACCTCTGCACCATTTTTTACAACCAGGTTAAGGCCCATTCAACATGTTCGCATTTTAAACTTTTTTTTTTTACTGAAGTATAACGTATACAGTAAAGTGCACTAATCTTCTGTGTAAAGCCAGATGAATTTTTACATATTTACACATCTATGTGACCATTCCCCAGATGAAGATATGGAGCATTCTCACCCCCTCAGGTCACTCCCTCTTGCTGTTTCCAATCCTAACCACTCCCCTCAGCCTGCCAGGGAACCATTTTTCTCACTTTTATCACCACAGATTCGTTTGGCGTGTTCTTTAACTGCATATGTTTGGAATCCTACAGCATGTGGTCTTTTGTGTCTGGTTTCCACATTTCTATTGATTAATTTTCTGCATTGTCTTTATTCCTCCTTCTGGGTTTTCTGGCAGGGAAGCCCTCGCTCAGTCTGCCCCATGGTGGCCACAAGGGGGCAGCAGAGGCTGAGGAAAGACTGGTGAGTTTGCTGTGCCGCTTTTCCACCCGCGCTGTGGGTTGCTTCCTTCACCCAAGTAGTATTCATCACACCTCCCCCCTTTCCCCCCCGACACCGCATACACAGCCTGGACGTGAGCGCCTCCCAACCCGCTTCTGAATTGTGGGCCTGCTTCGCTCCCTGAGAGTTGCTGCTTTAGAGAGAATTTCTGGAGCAGAGATATGGAGCAAAGTCTTCAATCTCTTTTGATCATGCACTGCTTTCAGTAATACATTGAGAACCTCCAGCTGGGGTCATGATGGTCGAGAGGACGGAAAGAAAAATTTTTAAGTCAAAACAGAAACCATCAAGTTGCGGGTGTATTTTTCTTTTTCCCCCCAGACAATGAGCAGTCAGGAAAAAGTTCTTGCAAATTTCTCCTGCAGTGGAAGAAAACCTAGTGAACTCTTCCTTTTAAGAGTGTCAAGATAGATTAAGTTTTATAAATTTTCATCAGGATGAAACTTAGAGAAAAGACATTGAATCCTTTTCATTAACTGTCACATGTTAAAAATCACAGTATGTTTCCCCTAACCGTTGCTTTATGGTCCAGGTGTTTGTCTAAAGCTATTTCAAAAGCACTTAAAACAACTAAAAGATAAGAGGTATTGCATGTCTGTTAGAAAGGAAAGTAAAATATTAACCCTGTTAGTATTCAGATAATTCATATTTTCAACAAGACACATCATTTGTCACTTAGTGAACAGTGGTTATTGTCAAAGAAGCTGGGAACACAATCCTGATGAGCTGGGACAGGGCACTGAAGTGTGCTTTTTAAGGTCCTTCCTGCCAGCCCCCAGTGTTCTTCAAGAGAATCTAACCTATGCTCTGTGCTTCCCCTCCCAGTGTTGGAGCTCAGTGGGCTGGGATTCAGTGTGAGATAAGCTTTCTGGTCACATGTGGGGCATTCCAGAGTCCATGGTCCTCTGGAGATCTTCTTTCATGCTGATTTGTCTGGAGCTAAGGGCTGGGCTGGGCTTGAGGGCTGGAGTTGATGTAGGGGGCAGTCTTCTTGTACCTGTAGCCCCTCCTCCTCTAGAAAGTTCCTTGATTACACACTCCTCAATGGCAGGGCTCATGTCTCATTTCATCTGTTTGCCTCAGAGTGTCTAGCTTGTAAATTGTCAACGTATCTTTGACAAATTGTTGAATTTACAGTGAAATTTATACATTTTCCCAGAAGTTTTGAGTGGATTGAGACTAATTTGAAAACACCTTCCCCTCATAGGGGCAAGGCTATCACCCTGATGTGGCAGCCAAGAGAATAAAATGAAATAAAAATCATTTGCGTAGGCCAGTTCCCGGCACTTAGATATTCAATACGATTTTGTTTTCTGACCCCTGTATTTTCATAAAATTTTTCTAGTGTCTGTTAGGTCTTTACCACAGGGATTGGGGTGGCAAAGTGGGTGGGGGTCAGTGGATGTTTCAACTTTAATTGCATGTGGATTTGGAGGATAATATTTTTACTTGTCTTATTAGTTACTTTTGGTTTAAAATGGGTTTAACAAATATTCCTACACCTATGTGGGTACTAGCAGAAATGAATATATCCAGGTATATCCAGAAGTTCTCACCTTGCCCACAGTTGTGATATCACCAGGCTGACTTCTGAGCAGAAATCTAGCATTCCCATGCTTGCTCCAATGAAGACAAATGTAATGGGTTATTTAGAACAAACCGAAAGGCAGCATAGGCTGATAGAGATTTTGCTGGGTGTTTGCTTGTAAAACGCTAAGAAATTTGGTTTTCTCATCTGTAAAATGAGACTAATAATGAGGACCTAAGGTGATCAGTGATGTTAAAATATTATATTACAATATATGTATATATTATCTGTTAATAATATATAAAATATATGGTAATAATATGTTAAGTATTAACTATCAGTAGTTTGCTGTCTTTTCAGAAAGACAGGGCCATACTCCTGGAGCAGGTCCTGGAAGCTGTTGATGGGCACAGTGTTAACTCCTTGGTTGCCAGATTGTGGGGAGGTCCCAGATCACCTGTGGGTGAAGACAAAGAAAACCAATCACACTAGATGCTGTTGAAGGGCTTGGGTGTGGCTCCATTTCTCAATTGGCTAGGAAACACTTGGTGTTAGCAGACTGTAGAGACAGACCTGTGCATAAACCAAAAAACCCCAGTCGTCTTCAAGTTGATTGTGATTCATGGCAACCCCTTGTGTTGCAAAGTAGAAGTGCTCTCCATAGAGTTTTCAAGGCTGTGACCTTTTGGAAGAGATGCCCAAGCCTGTCTTCCCAAGTGGCTCTGGGTGGGTTCGAACAGCCAACCTTTCTGTTATTAGTGGAACACTTAACCGTTTTTGCTACTCAGGGACTCCTGACCTATGCACAGAACTGGGTGTTAGTCATGGCTGTGCCCCCATGCAGTCCTTACTTCCTGAAGCTGGAAACAAGCTGGCACATAGTAGTTCCTGAGTCTGCATCTCTGTGTGGCCCCACTTGACTTTTTGTTGCTCTGATAAAGCTGCTTTCTCCTTGGTAACAGAGATCACTGTCCAGAGGGCAGGGCAAAGTCTGCTGGGCTACTTTCTGCAAGCTTTCCCTTTCAGATGGTTAAAGGACCATAGTGGGGTGACTTTTCAGGCTACGAACGATCTACAGGATCTCAGGGGTGGGATCTCTGCAGATATCTCTTTAATTAGGGCTGACCCTCCTTCCTCAGCTCTCCAGGGAACCACCTGCCTCTCAGAGATGGGGGACCCTGATCCCACAGTGTCTGACCCAGAAGCAAGGACTGGGGCTCCCAGAGCAGCTAACTGTAGGTGCAAACTCTGAGGCATATTTGGGGTCTGCCAGGGTCCCCGTGGCCCTGAAACTTCTTGAGCTGCTGAATTTAGAGATGCTCCAGGAGGTCACAGATTTTTAAAGCTGGAACCAAGAAAAGCAGGTGAGTTGGCTGTGTAGACACCTGTGGACCACGAGGAGGAGCCAGGGAGCAGCCGGCTGTGAGGAGGGGGCTGAGAATGTGTGTGTGTTTGGGACTGGACCACAGTCTGCTCTAAGAAGACTGAGGACGACCCCAGTGAGGCTTGCACCTTTATTCATTTATTTTAAAGATGTTTATGTAGCACTTGGAGCCCTGGTGGCATAGTGGTTAAGAGCTCTCAGCTGTTAACCAAAAGGTTGGCAATTCGAATCCACCAGCTGCTCTTTGGAAACCCTGTGGGGCAGTTCCACTCTGTCCTATAGGGTCGCTATGAGTAGGAATCAACTCGATGGCAATTTTTTTTTTTAATGTAGTACCTACTAGAACCAGCCTTCTGTTCTCATTACCTGTAGTAACTTTACAAATATAAATTCATGTAATCATCATTACAACCAATAACAGTATCGAGGGAGGTACTGTTACTATCCCCATTTTGCATATGAGGAAACCAAGACTGACAAGGTCAAGTAACTTGCCTAAGGTAGTCATACAGCGAGTGACTGAGCCCAAAGGGGAGCCCAGCATTTGACCCCAGAGTCTGTGCTTTCCTGACCGTATGCTGCCTCCTCTCACCCCATGTGCAGCAGGTGGTTTGGGGTCTTTTCTCTGACCAGGGCTCATTTTTTTCTTCTTTCCTGCTCTGTGCCAACCAGAGTCTTTCACCTGTCAGCCAGAAGTCTCATCTCAAAGACAAAGTGGGTGAGGATTAACTGTCAGTGGGGGGTTGACTGGGTACCAGCTGGAAGCAGGAAGGTCTGGGGTGGGGTTGAAATATAGGTGAAGCAAACAAAAACACTAAACAGGACAGGGTGTCTGTGATGGGAGCCCCATCTCTGAGGATGGTGTCTGTCTCTGACACTTCTCAGGTGATTCCCTGGTCAAGTCAAGGAGGACAGAATAAGGAGCATCAGGAGCTGGCATATTCCCTGTGGCTGGAGGCCTGCGTCAGGGTCCTCTGACCTGGGGGCTGTGCAAGTCCTGGAGATGGAAGAAAGGTTTTCCCCAGGGGCACAGGTGCTGAGGAAGGAAGTCTTGGCGTCTGGGCAGTGGGTCTGTGATATGAATGTTAGTGGGGTGGGAAAGGAAGGAGTGGTTTGTTCCCAGGTAAACTTAATGGTTCTCTGACACCACAGAGTCTCCCCAGAACAGTTGAGAGGAGCCCGGCTCAAGCCTTTCTTGATATCAGAGTTGTGTGGGGCCCACCACCGCATTAGCAAGTAGGGTGAGGCTGAGCTGTGGGTGGGCTGCTTTCTGTCTGGTGGTGTCGTCTGACTCCTGCCCTGTCTCTCTCCCAGCTCTGAGGAAATGGAGGGCGGCTCCAGCTGCTCTTTGCTCTACCGTCTCACCTCCCTGCTGCTTCTCCTCCAGCTGCGCATGGAGGGGTCTGCAGGTGAGTGCTCCACATCCCTCTGTCTGCATCTCCCTGTGGTGTGTGGGAACCACAGGGGAACTGCTGGTTCTCTCCATCAGGATGGATTTAGACTATTGGAGTCAGACCCCAGAGAGATTATGGTGTCTTCCACTAACTGTAGTTAAAAACAAACAAACAAACCACAAAACCATAAAGGAGGGTAAAGAAATCTGACAATTCCCCATGATGACTTGTTTAGTGTTTAGAAGAGCCAAATATACAATATTTGAGAATACCTTCTCCCCTCATTTTTCGATTTCCCTGCTTTACTAATGTCCTAAGGAAACATGCATGCATACACTAATTCTCTTTATTCCCCAAATGTTCATGGGGGTGTCTTAGTTATCTAGTGCTGCTGTAAAAGAAATACCACAAGTGGGTGGTTTTAAAAAGAGAAATTTATTCTCTCACAGTCTAGGATGCTAGAAGTCCAAATTCAGGGTGCCAGCTCCAGGGGAAGGCTTTCTCTCTCTGTCAGGTCTGGAGAAAGGTCCTTGTCATCAATCTTCCCCTAATCTAGGAGCTTCTCAGTACAGGCAACTTGGGTCCACCTGGTGCTGCTTTCTTGGTGATATGAGGTCTTGCTGTCTCTCTGCTCATTTCTTTCTTTTGTATATCTAGAGATTGACTCAAGATACAACCTAATCTTATAGATTGAGTCCTGCCTCATTAACATAACTGCCTCTAATCCTGCCTCATTAACATCATAGAGATAGGATTTACAATACATCGGAAAATCACTTCAGATAACAAAATGGTGGGCAATCACACAGTACTAGGAATCATGGCCTAGCCAAGTTGACACACATTTTTGGAGGACACAATTCAATCCATAACAGGGGGTCTACTATGGCTTAGATATTGCTCTATGAACAGAACAGAGACTCCCTGTCTTCATAGAGCTTACATTCTAGCATGAGACAGTGAATATTAAATGCAGTAAATCAAGAAAAACTATAGTCTGTTAGAGGAGATTAGGGCTACGAAACAATGAAGTAGAGCATGTATGAGCAGTGTCTGTGTGAGGGGGTGGAGAAATGGAAGGTGGGACATGGGCAGGCAGCAGTGCTCAATAAGGTGGTCAAGAAAGAAAGATGTGGACTAAGACTTGGGAGAGGAGGGAAGTGAGAGTGAGGATCTCTGGGGAAAGGACATTCTCACAGGAAGGGTCAGCCAGTGCAAAGATGACTCATGGTGACCCCAAAAACACCGAACCAAAAGGTGCTTGGTCTGCTTGGTCTACCCTTGACCCACCAATGCCTTTGGGAACTCCTTAGAAATGCACGTTTTGGACCTCCCCTAGACCTACTGAATCAGAAGCTTTGGGGGTGGGGTTCAGAGATCTGTGTTTTATAATCCCCCTGGGTGATTCTGATGTACACTCAGGCTTGAAAGAGTCTTTCAAGTAAGGCCCTGGGACTAGGAGACCAGGCTCATGAGCAAGGTCCTTGATATCATTTCTTGCTTGTGATGTTGTTGTCAGAACATTTTATCCCATTCAGAGTCCTCACAGCTTATTCCTTCATGAGCTGGGAGTCATCGCCAATTTTCACCTGATAGTGTTTATCCCCCTCCCCCCCACAACCTCCAGCCTGTGTTTCTCCAGCTTTCTCACTCTCATGTCTTGTCCACAGATGAGTTCGTGGTGATTGCCCCCACGGACCCCATTGTGGCAGTGCTGGGCAGGGACACCACGCTGCCCTGCTCCCTGTCCCCAGCCATGAGTGCAGAGAACATGGAGCTGCGGTGGTTCCGTTCCAAGTTCTCAGAAGTGGTGTTCATCTATCAGAACCAGCGGGAGCAGAAGGAGGGGCAGATGCCACAGTACGCAGGGAGGACCTCCCTGGTGAAGGACTTCCTCATCCGGGGGGAGGCTGCTGTGCGCATCGACAAGGTCCGGATTTCTGACAATGGGCAGTACACATGCTTCTTCAGAAAGGGACGCTTCTATGAAGAGGCTACTTTGGAGGTGAAGGTGGCAGGTTGGTGACTTGGTATATATATTCTAGAGTCTTGGAGTGTTGGAGTTGGGAGCAACATCAGGGACGATTTAATTCAGTCGCTCATTTTATAGATGCAGAAAAGGAGACTCATTCATTCATTTATTCAGTAAAATAAGGTAGAGCCCCTACTATGCACCAGGCCCTATTCTAGGTGCCTAGATACATCAGTGAACCAAATAGAGATCCCTGCCCTGTGGAGTTCATATTCTAAATGCAGAGATAGAAAAACCACAATAAATAAATAGGTTATAGATGATGTTAGAAGGTGGTAAGTTCTAAGGATAAAAGATGAAGTAGAACAGGGAAAGGGGATCAGGATGTGGGCGTGGGGACTGGAATGGGGACTGAGCTGGGCCTTATTGAGAATGTGCTGTCTGAGCAAAGGCTTGAAGAAAGTAGGGATTTAGCTAAGTGCATATCTAGAGGATCAGAATTCCAAACATAAGGAAAAGCCAGTGCAAACTCCCTAAGGTGGAAGTGTGGCTGGTGTGTTCTGCGCACACAAGGAGGCCTTATGGCTGGTGGGAGTGAATGAGGGACAGGATGGTAAGAGGTGTCAATACTGGACAAAAAGATGTTCCTGGTATAGGTTGCACAGAGAAGGGGCTGGTTAATACTGCCTGGGGCGATCATGGAAATTTCCCTTGGGAGTAGACACTTAAGTGGGCACTTGAGTTCATCAGGCAATGTTCCAAAGAGCCCCCAAGGTTGAGGGACCGAAGTTGAAAAGGCAGGGGGGCACACAGAGCAAGGTGTGGTTAATAGCAATTAACCAAATAGTCCTTTGGGCTATAGTATGTGGGCCTTGAGGAGCACAGCTGGTGGAGGTTGTGGGGGATTTGAGAGAAGGGATTGAGGAGGAAGGCAGATGCCAGATCAGAGAAGGCTTTGTGTGCTGTGTTAAGGGTTTGGATGCAGAGCTGAGGTAATTTTAAGCAGAGCAATGCTGGGAATGCTCACTCTGGCAGTTGTGAGGAGGATGGATGCGAGGGAGAAAGGCTGGTGGTGTGGAGTGTAGTTATGAGGCGGAGGGTAACTGACCTCAGGTAGTTGCTCTGGGGTGAGAGAGGAGGGGTCAGACATCAGAGTGATTTGGAAAGTAGACTCAACTGAGTGAGTAAATTTGGAAACACAAGAGTTTGAAGAGGGAAGAGGGGAGCGCAGAGACTCCCAGGGGTTTGCCTTCTCTAGTTGCTGTTTAGTAATAGGAATATTGATAGTTACGTATCAATTATCTATCACCGTTATAATGCTATGTAACAGTCACAAAATCTCAGTACTGTATAACAATAAACATTTATTTAACTTTAGCATTTATGAACCAATCAACCAACCAAACAAACAAAAAACCAAACCTGTTGCCGTCAAGTTGATTTCGACTCATAGTTACCCTATAGGACAAAGTAGAACTGCCTCATAGAATTTCCAAGGAAATTGGGCCAGTGGCTTCAAACTGCTGACCTGATCTTTTTTTTTTTTTTATGTGTGTGTGCGTGTGTGCTACCCGGGGACCCCTAGCACCAAGCTACAAGTTTGAATTTTATTAATTTTTTTCCTTTTTTTAATTGTACTTTAGATGAAGGTTTACAGAACAAATAGTTTCTCATTAAACAGTACACGTATTGTTTTATGACAATGGTTAACAACCCCACGACAAGTCAACACTGTCCCTTCTCAACCTTGGGTTCCCTATTACCAGCTTTCCTGTCCCCTCTTGCCTTCTAGTCCTTGTTCCTGGACTGTTGTGACCTATTAGTCTCGTTTTGTTTTATGGGGCTGTCTAACCTTTGGCTGAACAGTGAACCTCGGGAGTGACTTCATTACTGAGCTAAAAGGGTGTCTGGGGGCCATACTTGCAGAGTTTCTCCAATCTCCGTCAGGCCAGTAAGTCTGGTCTTTTTTTGTGAGTTAGAATTTTGTTCTACATTTTTCTCTAGCTCTGTCCAGGACCCCTGTTGTGATCCCGGTCAGAGCAGTCAGTGGTGGTAGCCAGGCACCATCTAGTTGTACTGGACTCAATCTGGTGGAGGGCATGGTAGTTGTGGTCCATTAGTCCTTCGGACTAATCTTTTCCTTGTATCTTGTTTTCTTCATTCTCCCTTGCTCCTGAAGGGGTGAGACCACTGGAGTATCTTAGATGGTTGCTCACAGGCTTTTAAGACCCTAGAGACTACTCACCAAGGTAGAATGTAGAACATTTAATTAATAAACTGTGTTATGCCAATTGAGCTAGATGTTCCCTGAGACCATGGTCCCCACAGCCCTCTGCCCAGCAATTCAGTCCCTCAGGGAGTTTGGATGTGTCTGTGGAGCTTCCATGACCTTTCCCTGTACAAGTGGTGCTGGCTTCCCCAGTATTGTGTACTGTCTTACCCTTCACCAAAGTTACCACTTATCTATTGTTTATTATTTCCCCCTCCCACCCCCTCGCAGCCCTCGTAATCAACAAAGATTGTTTCCTTTTGTATGTAATGTTTTTCATGAGATTTTAAAGTAGAGGTCTCATACAATATTTGTCCTTTTGTGGTTGACTTATTTCACTCAGCATATGTCCTCCAGTTTCATCCATGTTATGAGATGCTTCACAAATTCATCATTGTTCTTTATCATTGCATAATACTCCATTGTGTGTATGTACCATAGTTTGTTTATCCATTCATCTGTTGATGGGCATCTACGTTTTTTCCATCTTTTTGCTATTGTGAACAATGCTGCAATGAACATGGGTGTGCATATGTCTATTTGTGTGACAGCTCTTATTTCTCTAGGATATATTCCTAGGAGTGGGATTGCTGGATCGTATGGTATTTCTATTTCTAGCTTTTTAAGGAAGTGCCATAACATTTTCCAAAATGGTTGTATCATTTTGCATTCCCACCAGCAGTGCATAAGAGTTCCAATCTCCTGCAGCCTCTCCAACATTTGTTATTTTCAGTTTTTTTGATTCCTGTCAATAATGCCGGAGTGAGATGGTAGCTCACTCATTGTGGTTTTAATTTGTGTTTTTCTAATGGTTAGTGATCGCAAATATTTCCTCATGTGTCTGTTGGCCTCTTGAATGTCTTCTTTGGTGAAGTGTCTGTTCATTTCCTTCGCCCATTTTTTAACTGGATTATTTGTCTTTTTGTTGTAAAGGTGTTAGATTTTCTTGTAGATTTTAGAGATTAGACATTTGTCTGACTTATAATGTCCAAAATTTTTTTCCCAGTCTGTAGGTTCTCTTTTTATTCTTTTGGTGAAGTCTTTTGATGAGCATAAGTGTTTAACTTTTAGAAGCCCCAGTTCTCTAGCTTATCTTCTGGAGTTTGTGTGCTGTTGGTTATGGTTTTTATCTTGTTAATGCTGTGCATTAGGGCCTCTAGCATTGATCCTATTTTTTCTTCTACGAACTTTATAGTTTTTGGCTTTATATTTCGGTTTTGATCCATTTTGAATTAGTTTTTGTGTACAGCGTGAGGAATGGGTCCTGTTTCATTTTTTTGCCGATGGACATCCAGTTTTGCCAGCATCATTTGTTAAAAAGACTGTCTTTTTCCCATCTGATGAACTTTGGGCCCTTGTGGAAGATCAGGTGACCGTAAGTGAATGGATTTACTTCTGGATTCTCAATACTGTTCCATTGGTCAATGTATCTGTCGTTGTACAGTACCAGGCTGTTGTGACTACCGTAGCTGTATAGGTTCTGAGGTCAGGTAGCGTGAGTCCTCCTACTTTATTTTTCTTCTTCAATAGTGCTTTACTTATCTGGGGCTTCTTCCCTTTCCATATAAAGTTAATGATTAGTTTTTCCATCTCTTTGAAGAATGTTGTTGGTTTTTGGATTGGGATTGCATTGTATTTATAAATTCCTTTGGGTAGAATTGTCATTTTCACAAGTTGAGTCTACCTATCCGTGAGCATGGTATGGTTTTCCATTTATGTAGATCCCTTTGGGTTTCTTGCAGTAGTGTTTCGTAGTTTTCTTTGTATAGGTATTTTACATCCCTGGCTAGATTTATTCCTAAGTATTTTATTTTTTAG